GGGGGGGGTTCAATCATGTATTTTTATTGACATTTTTTTATGACCGTCCATAAACAAAAAAACAAAAAACAAAATCTACTTGACAATTTTAGTCGGACGGAACTTATTATAATACCGTGTTATCCTCAGATAATCGTTAGGTTCAACAAGCCTCCTTAAAGATGAACTAGTCACCCTAAATTTTAACTCGTGGGAAGTCATTCAGAGACCCTTATTAAAAATCGGAATATATAGGGATGGAATGGATTTGTTGTTCATGTACAATGCGGCAAAGCATATCAGTAGCTGATCTACATTTACAAAAAGTGTAACATATCTTCTGAGGATATGTAGATCAGATATACTGTTATTCATTGCCGCAATCTACATGAAAAAAACATCCATTCAATTCATATATTTACGTTTCGATGAACTACAATAAAAAGTTCAACACTTTTTGTAAATTTAGTATTTTTAATATTAGTATCGGACAGGAACAATAAAAAAAGGAACAGCCATAACTCCAGCCTACACACAAACTTCAAATGGTCGACTTCCGCCGATCAGCTGATTTTGTTGAAACGAAAATATATATCCAGAATCTAATAATGACCAACACTTGATTTTCATTTCATTTTTGAAAGTGTTATCTTAGTTGACGTTTTTTGCATTAAACACTGCATATTATATATTTCAAAAAGTTTATGTCCGCACTATTTCATATCATCGGTCACCATAGTAACCATCCAGGACACCCGTCGGCAGTAGGCATAGAGCTCATTTGAAGTTAAATGTACAGCCGTTGGAAATGTAAATGATGATAAGTTAATGGATTAAGTACCCTGTGTCATTACAAAGTTCTCTGAGTTTAATGTGCAAGTTGATGTCACGGGGAATACCCAGCCGGACGTTTGGGTGTTAGAAAATTCGTGACCACGAGAATCCGATTGCGAGTCGGAAGTCAGTATTCAATATGACAATGTTATAAATATTTCTTTTAATTTTAAATTAAAAAACAAACAAAAAAACGGTACAATTGTTTATTATTATTTATCGCAACTACGTTTATCTTGGAGAAGGGGAGATTACTCTTCTCAGAAACGGTACTATGTGTAGTAATATGAAGTTGTCATTGTGTGTGAAATCGGGTGAATGGTTGCACGAGAATCGTTGTATTCATAGTGTATTCATTGTCTACTGGCAGTTGTTTTTAGTTGGTACATGTTGTGTATATCCATGTACAGAACAAACATCAAGAATGTAAATATACATACATGTGTAATTTTAGATATATTGGGCTTTAACCAGGTTAACGTAGTCAATAATAAAGTATTAAGGCTGATGTCTTCATAACCATAGCTCATGTCAATCTCTTTAGCGACCTAACTGAATGCTACGAAATGACATATTATTCAAAGTTCATTTATAAGCCTAGGTTATGCGGGGCTTTATTTCTCTTTAATTAGGTGTGGAGAGGCTTACCGGCCTCAAAAGTAGATTTTTGTTCTATGGAAATGTACAAAAACCATATTGAAACGTCCGAGTAACATATTTTACTGGTATATATGTGTAAAACTACAGACTTATGATCATAAAAAGGCACTTTAACTTCATATAAAGTGTCCTTTCTTAACATTTAATGTTTTTTATTAAGCTAGACATGTAAACATTATCGCACTTGACAGCTTCAATGTTTATAACATGTCTAGCGCATTTATAACATCACAGAATGTTATTAAATGGCACAATATCTAAAGATCATTTATTGAATAAAGATACATAGCCATTGTTTTTTTAATTTATAATCTGTTAAAATATATTATTTTATTAGGATGTTAGTGGTTTCGCATGGCAACATATATCTTTATTTGAGGTAGGAATTCCTCTCAACAGCTAGGAGAAGAGAAATAAAGCTCTGCATGACCCAGGCATATACATAAACTTTAAATTGTGTGTCATTTCTTAGCACTCAGTTGGGTCGCAAAAAAGATTGACATGTTATAAATCCGGTGATCTATTTTTATGTCGACATCAGCATTAATGTCTTATTTTGTAATACTGGCTATGTTTTTTTTCAAAAGTTCAATGTATTTTAATTACATATATAAGCTCCGATTTTTAATTGAGGTCTTTGAATATAACTTATCAGCTAGAGGTTGGAATTTTAGGTGACTACAGCATCTATTAAGGGGCTTGTTGAACTTTATGGGCCTTTTCAGTCTTATCATTAGCAAGTGCAACTTTTACTTGTTAATAATCAGATTAAAATGTGTTTTCAAAACACGGGTGATTGCTTCTATAGGGCCTGGTAGATTTCCCCCCAGCTATGTAAGCATGCACTCCGAAAAATTGTGTGCTGCGCCACTGGAAACCATTCATTGAAACATGACGTCTGTCTACGAAGAAGAATGTATTCTTTTAATTCCATTTTTCATTTAAAGACATTATGTGATATAGTCAAAGACATTCTGATCAGGTGCACAGTTTCACATGTGGCCAGAATAAGGGAATATCATAGTGAAATGTTGTTTTTTTTTTTTTATATCATTAAAGGGACAATTTAGTAGAATAAGATCTTTTATAACGTTGTCACAAAATTCTTCATGATTATATAGTTCGATACTACTTATGAACAATTCATGTCGTGAAATTGACAAGGGACACTGTTTTCTTGGCGTTTTTACTTGGCGTTTTTAATCAGTAATGGAGAAATCCTTAACTGTACAGCCTTACTTTCTAGCTAACAAAAAAATCTTTCCAGCCGAAGAGAGAAGGTAATTTCTCGCTTTATTCACCTAGCTTCAATGAAATACAAGTACATGCATTTATTCTGAATATAAATCATCTTCCAACATCACCTTAATCTCAAACATCGTTATCGTACTTTCTGCGGTTTGAAATTCTCCCTGCGGGACCCTCTCAGTGCGTGCATGCTCCCAAATCCAAATCTGAACGGAAATATCAGATTAGATGTATATATTCTGATACTTATAATTTCTTTCTTGCGATGCATTGTGTAACTTCAAGAGGCCCGGATATTGCGCTATTTTGGTCGTAGCTATTTTTATCACAGGCTTTCCCAAAAGATGAAACTGACAACACTGCACGTTGGCGACATGTCATGTCAATATCAACTACACACACTTTCGTTAAGAGATTTATATTTTCAGTATCGACTCGATTTTCAGGTTGTCACTGTAATATTCTACATTATAAATTAGTAACACTATGATTCCGGAAAATTATGTCCGTCATTTTGTGATTATTTATGTATAGCGGAAGTGGTCACTATTAAAATACCCGACATGGTTTGTTCTGTTATTCCGGGAAACACAGACATTACACTGGCGACGAGGACGGTCTATACAAGAAAAGAAAACAGAAAAAGGTAACGAATACGTAATCACAAAAATGTTGACGATAGTGGTAATTCTATCAACTCTATCATTAATGATATATCATTAATGATATATGTGAACTATTTATAAATGGTGCCAAATATGGATTTAGAACTAACCACGCTAAGCAAAATTCTGTAAATAATTATGTTTTTAAATTTAAAAAACCTTGGTTTACGAGAGACTGTAAGTCTGCTCGCCAAAATTATAGAAAAGCGAAACGGTTATACAAAAAGTTTGGTAATGCTTACCTCAAAGAGGAAATGTATGTAAAGGAACGGTTGTATAAAAAACCACTTAATCGTTGTGTCATCAAGCATAAGTTAGAGATTAAAATAAACTCCGGACACTATGGTCAAGAAATCCAAAAGAATACTGGAAAATAATTAATACAGGTAGGTCCAAAAAAAGTACTTGTAAGGCTGGTATTGAAGATCTTTTTAACGTTCTTTAACTTTCTCTTTAAGTCATGTTTTAACAAAAAAACTGAAGGTGAGGATAATCATGTGTTTTCTTTTAATGAGCTTACTGAGCTGTCAAAACTGGAAACTAATGCTTTTATAAATGAGCCAATACTGCTGAACGAATTAATGAAATGTGTTAAAATGTTTAAGAATAATAAGTCTGTTGGTGACGACATGCTATGTAACGAATATATCAAGTCAACCATTGGATTTAATGATGCCATTAACTGTTGAATTATACAATTATATTTTAAATACTGGTCACGTGCCTAAAACCTGGCTCCTGGGAAACATCATCCCTGTTTTTAAGAACAATGGTAGTTTGTATGATGCCACTTACTATCGTCCAATTACTTTGGTTAGTTGTCTAGCTAAATTGTTTATAGCTGTATATAATGAACGATTAAATAAATATGCAGATAATGTAGAACTCATTCTCGAAAATCAAGCAGGGTTTCGAAGAAATCACTCCACTATTGACCATATATTTTCACTTCATGCATCAATTGTGCTATCAAAACATTTAACAAAACAATTATATTGTGCCTTTATAGATTTACAAAAAGCTTTTGATAGTGTTTGGAGAATAGGCCTTTGGAACAAACCTTTGGTTAATAATATAGATGGAAAATGTTTGCGAATTATTACAAATATGTACAATGACATTAAGGCTAGAGTGAGGAAAGATGGCGTATTCTCGAATGTATTCCCATGTAGTTCTGGGTCCGGCAAGGCGATAATCTTCCCCTGTTTTTATTTTCACTTTTTCTTAATGATTTAGAAGATTTTAT